TCCTGAACACCAACGACGGGGGGTTCCCAGGATTAGCTATATGGCAGGCTCTCAATAGATCTCTGCTGAACGAATACACTGATGAGTGAATGAATGAATGACTGTTAAGAAATAACTGAAAAAGTAAGTAAATGACCAGCATAAGAGCCTGGACACATGTAACATTTTAGTCCTTTCCTCCTCCTCTATTCTCATGGGGTTCCTGGTCTCTATTGGTTACAAGGCTGGAGACAAACAGATGGCTACGTTAAAAAAAAATATGGGTACAATGAGATAAAAATAGCTCTTACAAAAAAGCTTGTGTGTGCTCATTTATTTTGCTATTACATGTTATGACTTTTGCTTTTTGTCTTTACTTAAGATACTTATTACCCAAACTATCAATTAAATGATATAAATGCAAGAGAATGGAGTAATTTTCAAAGCAATTGATAAAATACTCTAAGGGTCACAGGAAGCCTAGGGTAGGACTGGGCAGCGGGGGGCAACCTGCCATAGGCAGCTGTCAGGGTAGAATCTATGGAGTCAGGGAACCAGGGCAGGTACACTGAACTTCTGAGCTCAATTGATTTGGACAAGACAAGCTCTGTCTTGAAACACTTCTCTCCTTCATTCTTTTTTGGGCAGGTCCAGCCTGAAGCCTAATTAACTACAAAGATTAGGGAAGGTGGCACCAGGGTCAATTTTACACTCTAATAAAATTTAGCACCAAATATTTTCTGCTAAAAAACATTTTAAAACCTTATCATACTCTCCTGGTTTACTACCTCTCCAAGCACAGAAAACAGATCTTACAGTTTAAGGGTTTTAACGACCACTCAGAATTAGAATATGGAACACAGGCATAATGACCTTAGGTTCTGCTTAAAGTAAAACCATACCTAATATTCTATCACCAATTTATTCTCTCCTATTCTTTCTGAAAATTCAACTACAGAATAAAATTTCATTACTCCAGAAAAAAGTTTAGGGTATTCAGGTTACAGCAATTAAAATGAATCTCAAGGTTTAAAAGAAAATTGGAAAACATGAATTCCTCTTTTTGATTTAGGTTTTTGATACTAACACATTCAGATGAAAATTATAGACAGCAATTTTCAAGCACTAAATTCTTGTCTTTAACTGAACAAGCACCACCCTTAATTTAGGCTCTGCAGAGTCACAGGGGAGAAGAAAATAAACCTCAACCTGCATTCAGATTGATTTCTCCAAATTAAGAGTCAAGGGCATCAGCTTTGCTGCGCATGAGTGTGTGGAGACAAACTGCTGATTAATATCACGATATCACGACCTCTCTCTTCCCCCTCACTGCTAACAAGTCCTGGAGTTAACAGTATCTTGTCACATTCTATAAACTGTTAGTATGTATCCATTTCACAACAGCTATTGTTCAACTTTCAGGAAACATGTAACTTCAGTTACCAAGTAAGCTCCCAGACAGTTTGCAAATACGAACAACAGTATAGGAACTTGGACACTTCCCCACCGGAAATTGACACCAGCCATGAATTAGGTACAGAGCCACTAGTTCTAAATTCTAAGAATTTAGAAAGAGAAGAAAGGAAGAAAGGAAGAAAAGAGAAGTCAAGGTACCTAGCACAATTTGCCATATTAGGATTATTCTCTAGGCCACAGGCAGGGGTGGGGGTGGGTGGGGTGTGATTAGAAGCAGGATAGCCACATTATTTCCCAACAGAAGGACTTTGAAAGCAGCTGCAAATGCTCAGCCATCAGTGGCCTGTGAGGCTTCTCAGCGGGCACCAGGCCCCATCAGTTTTTGTTGAACGTATGCAAGAGATTAAGCAGGACTTCAAGACGTTCAGACTGGGATACAGTCATCTACAAACGGGCTTTCTTTAATACCAGTCTAAAAATGCTGGGACTTAAGCCCCCTGTTCAGTAAAACTGGGGGGTGGGGGTGGTGGGCAATACCTGTGACTAGTACAAAATGTATGGGACATATGAAAATGTCCCTCTCAGTGCCCATGGCACGGCACCAAAACAACACTGGGCACTGCCTCGAAAACTTGAAGCAAAGCAAGATTACTGCCCTTAGAAAAGGATGTAGCTCACAAGGAAATATTTCATTAATACTAAGTGTAAGTCCAGTAAGTCTTGATGTCACACAGGTATGGATTCCATGCAACAGTCACCCCCTCCAGGGAAGTAGGCTCCCACAGTATGGAGTGAGTTTTTTTTTTGTTTATTGCAGTAACATTGGTTTATAACATTGTATAAAGTTCAGGTGTACATCATTATACTTCTATTTCTGCATAGATTACATCATGTTCACCACCCAAATACTAATGGAGTGAGCTTTCTTGATGAGTAAAGCTTATCAGCACATCGAATGAAAACAACCTTCCATTGAAGGGCTGCTGGTTTCTTCTTCCATTGACTTCAGACAACATATTGAGAACAACTATAAGCTCCCATCTGCAGAGCCGAATATTCAGCCCCTTCAATTAAGCATGTCTATTAACAGAAAATTCAATCCTTCGCCACCAATGAGCCAGTAAACGGAATACCTAACAGAAAGGCCAGCTCCTGGAAACCTGCTGCTGAATAATGAAATGTGTTCGCAGGCGCGGAGAGAAGCTCTCAGTGGTTTCCGATTCTGGCTGGAAAAGCAGAAAGTGCTTTCCAGTTGAGCAGTTTTCACACATCCTTGCTTCTTAAGAATAAATTGATCAACTCCTCTAGTACCTCTTGATTCTAGAACAAGGTAGACCACCCAGGTTGGTCTCTACCAGCTAGTTAGTTTTATATTCTAAAATTGTAACCTGGATAATTTACCACGGCAAGCTACGGTCTGGTATCCAAACTCTTATCTCAACAACAAAACCAAATACTCTTCTAGATTAGAAACTGGACTCTCCTGACACTATTACAATCACGTGGACTTCAGGTCGCTGGATCTACTTTAGAATGTGATTCACTTACTGGAGTTGAGAATCTACATCGAGTTTCTGGAAGGATTACACTACTTCCTTCAAATTCAATCAGAGGAGGTGAAGAAAGCCACCCTTTGACGGGAAGGTTAAGACAAACAGTGGACTTCTGCTAAAAACACCCTCGTCTTCCTTTTATGCAAGGGTAACTGTTCTAACATAAGCACCAGCAATAAGGAATACATGTGTTGAACGTGAATACTAATACAGCTTTCATTCCTTGTATGAAAGGAAAATAGTAGGAGCTAAAAAATAAGTCAGTAAAGTGAAGAAGTTACATTTCGCCCTGACCACAGTGAACACTTGACACATTATTCCTTACTTAAGGTTGCTTAAAATAAGATTGCACTTCTTGTCAGAAGCTGCCGTTCGTTATAGTTCAGATATTCCTGATCACTGTTTTAGAGCATGTAATGCTCTGGCAAAGAGCAGAGTTCCTTAGCCTTGGCACTATAGACATCTTGGGCTGGATAACTCTTGTGATGGGGGCTGTCCTGTGCACTGCAGGCAGTTCAGCAGCATCCTTAGCCTCTACTCATTAAATGCCAGTATCACTCCCTGCCTGAGTTGTGACAACCAAAAATGTCTCCACATGTTGCCAAATGTCCCCAAGGGGAGGCTCAAATCACCCCATGTTGAGAGCTACTGGCGTGGAGTATATATAACCTAGCCAAATAGTGAAACCAGATTGAGACTTAACTTCCTAATTCTTTTCAATGACATTTCAAATAGCTGCATATCCCAAATCCTCAAATGACAACAGAATCCAATTTCTGTGAACAGCAACAACTTTCAGTTTTACGCATAACTTAAAATGTTTTAACTTTCAATCTAACTTCAGCAATCTGACAAACTTTTAGATTTAATTTTGTAATTTAAGCAGTTTAAATTTGAGATTTTGATGTTTAACTTTATAACTAGTTAACGGAAATGAATCCTCATATCTGCACCCAGGGCTGAAGCTTATGTCAAGTGAGGAAGGCTGTTTCTTCAAGTTGCAAAAGATCTACACACTGCAAACCTCAGGTCTGCTCTTGGAGAGGGAAGGGGGATGAAAGAAGGCTCTGGTGCTGAGGGTCTGCTGCACAGCTCTGGCCCCGGGCCCAGACTCACATTACTGGCTGGGGCTTTCATAAGATGTCATGTATCTGATAGTGAGTCACTGCTGAGAGGGCTGCTTCTTCGAGCACATCCTTCTTCCTAGATACAACTGGGTCTTTTCTTTATTTAAAAGATCCATCAACATTAATTTTAAAAAGAGCTGCTCTTGCATATTAACTATTCATTTTGTCTTGTTGTGAGTGGTTTGTTGCTGTTGTTAAAAAAATGACTTATTATTTATTATTTCAGAGACTGGCCTGAAATGGAAGCATACCTACTAACTCATTGGAGCAAAATTCTCCAAAGGATGCAAGACCCTAAATCACAAATAGTCAGAACTTTCCATATATACATAGAGCTACAGGTGCACTCATACACTATGGAAAACCCATGTTGACTTGGCCAACATTCTAATCTTTGGCCCTGTGGATACCACTCTATCTGATGCACAGCCTTATAGAGAATGAGCATTTGGAGACAAACATTATTCACATGATCTTTCCACCTTCTTTTGTAATGCCTCCGGAGAGAATGAGAGCCAAATTACCAGGTTTATTCCTCACACTACCATGGAGACAATGCTTTGGTCCTCCTGCTAGTTCTTGCACTTACGTTTACTCAGCTTTAAAGATAGTTGTTAAAATTTCTGATTTGTCTAATAGTCTTTTGAATTCTTCAATAAGCAGGGTTCACTTATCCTGCTCTAAGTTAGACACAGGAAGGCCAATCAAAGGCAAGTCTGTAAAACTGCCTATGTACCTACAGGAAAAAGATGCATGTGCACAAACACACAACAGTATTTCCAAAGAGAACACAACTTAAAATGCTTGCTACATCTCACGTACTGCTATCTTCCAGCACAAGACACCACAGCAACTATACCCCTGAGAATAGCAGCCCCTAGAAGTTACTAACAGCTTATCAGGTATAAAGAAAACAGATACGTACCGTCAAAGCTGCCTTGCTCAGAAGCGAGGTGCAACAGCTGGTTGTATGTTTCAACTGAAGGCTGATACACAAAGACTCCGGAATTGAAGCAGTCAGGCCAGCCTGGGTCTGGGGCCGCAGACAATTCTTCTCTCTCAAAAAGATCATCAATATTTGCTAGGACCTGATTCAAGGGTGGGTGGGGAGGGAAAGCGTTACAGAAACGTTCCGCTTGCAGATACCCTTCTTAAGTTCTCCCTAAGCTACCCAACACAAAAGGTGCAATCTGTCGCTGGTCTTAACTATCCAGGCGACAGCTGTAAGGCAGCCTGGGCCTACTCTCCGTCATCAGCCGACACTTCTTATGAAAGTGGTTTTATCTGAACTTGATTGTCAAGTTTTGACAGCATTCTTCAAATGTCTAACTGGTCTCAGTCACGACGTACATCTTTCCAGCCATCACAGCCCCACTCACCAGAGTATCTGCATCCATGAACACACATTTTGAATACTGCGTAAGTGACCAGCAGTGGAGTTTGGTTAACGTGACACCCAACTCAGGCCTTTTCATTAAGGTTAGATGAGCAGAATCGCCACTGTCCAAGACATCGACCATGATGACTTCATCAAAGACTGTCTCTAAAGCTTTTCTGTCAAAACAAAATCCAGAAAGCAGTGCTTAGCGTCTTGTCAGAACAAGTGACCCACCTAACCTAGACTACACTCTTATTAGCCTATCCATCAATTACTAGAGGAATCTGTTACTTTGGTACAGTACAATCTCTTAAATATCTTCTAACTTACTGCAGGACAAACTGTATCAATTTGCATGAGTAGTTAATTTCACTAAAATAATAAGTGCCAATGGCGAGGATGAAGTACTTGTCTTAGAACATTATTACAGAAGTTTCCTACTTTTTACTTCTACTTTTCCTGAATACCAGGAAACTATGGAAACAGCTTGTAAAAACGTGACTCACATTTGGTAAGAGGATGTCTTTGCAACAGCCCAGGTATTTAACAATGATATTTTGTGAGAACCGATTCTTGCTGACTACTGCATATTTTCATATACAATGCTGAGTAAAGCGCAAATACCTGCAATGAAGCCTATAACTAATCATGTTTGCTAAAGCAGTTGACCGAGAACTGCCTGAAGCTGTGCGGCATCCCAGAAGAAGTGGAAGGACTCAGTTACTCAGCTGCCAGTTTTTAGAATCGACTATGACCCAGCATTTATTCTGTGCTTAGCACTCCTGGCAGAATGAGAGACTCACTTTGGTTTGTGAAGTTCAACACTTCTCTGTGCCCCAAGTTAACCAACATGTATTTCAGAAAACAACCTTGAGGTGGGTAAGTGGGGTGTACTTAGGTAGGACACTAACTCGGCACAAGGAAAAACATACGACAAAGACAGATGATCAGTGAATGTTTATAACAACACCAAACCTGCAGAACAGACTGGTATCACATTATCTGTCTCCAAAGCTGTACCAAGATATGTTCTAGTTCACAAAATACACTTGATCTTTTTGAAAACAAATGGTCAGTGGCACCATTTCCCACAGTAAAGGGAGGGGGATCTAAGACTACCTCTGTCTTCTCACACACCCTCACTAAACAGACTGCAGACTGGGACACACACATTAGGAGACCGTCTTTCTGGCATTTTGCTAAATGACCCTTTAGGAACAAGGCTGTCAGCGTCAGAGATATATGTATATATAATGCCTCCTTTTCAGAGATCCTCGGCATGTGCTTACATTTTTTGAAAAGAGTCACAAAAAGGGTGTTTTCAATTTCTAAGAGAGATAGAACGCAAAAATTAACACAATAAAGGGGCTGGCCCCATGGCCTAGTGGTTAAGTTTGGTGTACAATGCTTCAGTGGCCCGGGTTTGGTTCCTGGGTGTGGACCTACACCACTTGTTAGCGGATGTGCTGTGGCAGCGGCCCACATACAAAATAGAGGAAGACTGTCACAGACCTTAGCTCAGGGCGAATCTTCCTCAGCAAAAAATAAATAAATAAACAAACACAATACAGAGCTGCTAGTGTGCCTTGATATTTTTAAAGTTAGTATTAGAACCTGGGTAGTTCATTCAGAAACTTCAAGATTTAATTCCAACAATTGGAAGTGCACTAACCCAGTCAACAAGCAGGTGAGCCCCCAGGGGCTCTCCCAGCACAACCCCTTGGTCAGAAAGCCCTTGGGCAAACATTCTACTCTATTAAATTGTAAAATAAGATCTTGAGGCTACAAATGTCACCTGACGGGAGAAAACTGCTCCTTTCTTTCAAAGTCACCTGAGGTTTCCCTGGTTGGAAGCAGGAAATGAAGAAGACCCTGCTGCATTTGGGAAAGGAGCACAAGGGACGTGTGGCTACACGAAGGGAACGCCGGCCTGACACACTCACTCAGATCCCCCCGGGAGGACTGGCCTAAGGGAGAGGCCTTCTATTTAGAGTTGGAATCAGGAAGAGTGTTGTCCAGAACACCACCTCCCAGAAGGAAGCTCGGCTGGACCACCTCCCAAGAGCTGGGAAGAGGTTTCCGAGATGCAGGAATCCTTCACTCAGGAACTCCCATCTTTCCCACCCGGCACTCCCCCCAGAAAAGGGTACGGCCTCAATGCCCACTGATGCCAGATGCAGGACAGACGGACGGCAGAGCCCCACAGAGAGAGGGGCAGGGAGGGCCTCACCTCATGGAGTCCGAGACCTGTGGGGTGGTGAGCACGGCCAGCCTCCTGGTGGTCCTGTGCTGTTTCAGGGACGAGCCCAGGACCAGAGCTCCTTTGGCGTAGGCATCGTTTGTGGTCAGTGTCACAAAGGCCTGATCTTAATACAAAGAAAAAAACCACACTCATTACAATATCCTACCTAGAAAAATCTACCCCAGGACCCTTTTCAATCTGTAATTTGGCAAAATCAGCTCCTCTGCGATCAACCTGCTTTCTTAATAAAGGAGCAGCCTCTTTGAGGGGGATGGGGGAACCCAAGTGCCCACCTGAAGACTGGTTCAAGACCATTCTTTAGCAGGAATATCTCTGGTGATCTTCAAGAGGCTGATTGAACTATAAAACTTAAATCCAATTTAGAGTCTGAATATGCTAAATTCTCAGACCAAACAGGAGCTTAACAGCCAGAGAGTAAACCTCAGGGAGTTAACAGGTGGTAACGAAGAGATCAAGAAGTGCCTCTTCTGTTTCTCCTACAAGATAACATGGTATTTCCAACCCAGCACAAAGCCAACTCACAACCTCAACTGAGAGCGTCTGGAAGCAGAGGCCGTATTCATTTCCGTGCTGATGCTTCTGCCAAGTCTCCAGCTTTTTAAACTGTTTCCCTCCACCTAGAGCAAACCCCACCACCACTATCACCCTACCACCCTCAAGAGTGACTTGAGTCTCTGCCCATACATCCTCTCCTCAGAGAGGCCTTCCCTCCTTCATGCTTCTATTTCAATAGGGGCTGAGGGCTGTTAAACGGATTTAGGGACCAGCTCACAAGCTCTAACAAACCTGCCTCCTGGAGAAGCAAGCAATACCCTGCTCCCTGAGGCCCCCAACACTCTCTGTTTCTCTCTCTCACACACACACACACACACACACACACTCAAAAATCAATCTCCAATAATCACTTAGTTGCCAGGACCAAAGGCAAACACATGGATTATTCTTCCTGAACAAGCCCCCCAGCCCAGCCTCCGGGATTTCTCCAGTCCTTCGCTGGCATGATTCCGGGGACACACTCCGTCTCCGAGGGGATTTTAACATTAGCAAGTTGGTGGGCATCCAAATGTACAGGATACTTAGGATCAGGCTCTGGCAGGGGTCATGTGGGCCCTGCTGCCCATGCAGGGGGCCAGGACATTCTGTCACAAAGTCACTCTCTTTCTGTCTTGTTTCCTAACTCCCTTTGCCCATTTTCAAACGTGGAGGCGGGACCAGGCAGAGGAAACTCCGTTGAGAAGTGAGAGGAAATTGCAGGCTGTCAAGAGAGCCAGCACAGCCCCCAGCCTCTGACCTGAGGGCCATCTTCACACAGTGTGGGCCTCTCTTCCGGGGCTGGTCCCCAGTTAAGTTGTAGAAAGACTGACATCCCCCACCCAGGAGGGCCACCGGCTTCCCAGACAGTCACACACACTCTAGGGAAGCCCAGCACAGTGACACCTGTCACCTGACATGCCCATCATCCTCTGCCTGTGCTCGTTCCTTCAATCCGTCATAAGATGGCAACATTTCAGTCAGCCTGCCCCAGGAGTATTAATCTGGGGCATACGAATGATGCTTTAACTCAAAAGCGGTCCAGAGTTCAGGGGATCGTGGAGACAAGTTTAATAAGGTAAGTAGAATTCAAGGATTTCAGGAAGCAAGGATACGGATGATTTCCAAGATAAAGTAGGGGACAGGACAAAAGCTTAGGAACACCAGACCCAGCAAACATCACACATGAACAGGAAAGACCAAGGACAGCTGGGCGGGAGTTCCACCTTCAGGGCCGGCTGAACTCCGGGTCACATCTGCCACCTCTCGTCAGCTCAGTTGCCGCAATAACCCCGCATTAGTCTCAACCACACGGGAAGCACCAGGCACCTCGGAGCCTCCCGCCCGGGCGGGGGCAGGTTCGCCAGGCGGCCCGGACGCCCCGCAACAAGTGGGCCGAGGCTGGCGCCCCCCACGGCGCGGGGCCCGCTCCCGGGGCGCTCGCCCGGCTCGG